CAGCTGCCAGTGAGGGTAAGAAACATTGCTAGTTATTCCTAAGAATTCCGCGTGGAAGGAATTCCGGGAATTCCGTCATAGAAGAAGCTGTATGGTTTTCATCAGTGGCGCATATCAATAGATACTTTAAGTAATTCCGGAATTCCCAGTGACTCCTAGTTATTCCTCGGAATTCCCAGGAATTCCGCCTGGAAGGAATTCCGTCATAGGCGAAGTTGTTTAGTTTTCATCACTGCCATATATCAACACATGCTTGAAGTAATTCTGGAATTCCCTGTCATTCCTAGTTATTCCTAATTATTCCTAGTAATTCAGCGTGGAAGGAATTCCGGGAATTCCGTCATAGAACAAGCTGTATGGTTTTCATCAGTGCCGTATATCAATGCATGCTTCAAGTAATTCCGAAATTCCCAGTGATTCCTAGGTATTCCTAGGAATTCTTAGGAATACCGCGTGGAAGGAATACCGGGAGTTCCCTCACAGGGAAAGAGGTTATACAGTTTTGATCGTTGCCATATATGAATACATGCCTGAAGTAATTCCGGAATTCCCACTGATTCCTAGTTATTCCTAGTATTTCCGCGTTGAAGGAATTCCGGGAATTCCGTCATAGGCGTAGTTGTATAGTTTTGATCAAGCATTTATTGATATATGGCAGTAATCAAAAGTATACAACTTCTTCTATGACGGAATTCCCGGAATTCCTTCCACGCGGAATTACTAGGAATAACTAGGAATAACTAGAAATCACTGTGATTTCCGGAATTACTTGAAGCATCTATTGATATACGGCAGTGATCAAAACTAAACAACTTTGCCTATGACGGAATTCCCGGAATTCCTTCCACGTGGAATCACTAGGAATAACTAGCAATGACTAGGAATCACTGGGAATTCCGGAATTACTTCAAGCATGAATTGATGTATGGGAGTGATCAATACAATACAAGTTCTTCTGTGACGGAGCTGCTTCCGCGCGGAATTCATAGGAATAACTGAGAATTACTAGAAATTCCGGAATTACTCCAAGCATGTATTCATATATGGCAGTGATCAATACTGTTCAACTTCTTCTGCGACGGAATTCCCGGAATTTGTTCCACGCGGAATTCCTGGGAATTGCTAGGAATAACTAGCAATCAATTCTCAAAATCAAATTTCTGGCAATGGTGTCTGCATAGCAACTTAAGCAGTTTTCTCATATTATGCGTGCAAAAAGTACAATTTAAACCCATAAATCTATCTTTCTAATTAAAAAAATAAGCTAATCGACCTCGATTCCAAAGCTTAATTCATTCAATATGCGACACTTTATCAGGGACAATAATTAGAAAAACTATTGCTTTCTGCTCCAACAATACTTATTGACATATTATCTGTATGCCCCGAAATAGGTGGCCTGTATACAAAATGCGTTTTTTCTCGCAAAACTAGTTTTGGGCTTCCGGGCTTCATCGGACAACATTACGATCCCGGTTGGATTTCGTCCGATCAAGTTAAAAATTTTACCAGAGGTATTCAAGGTCATAGCGCAGAGGTATACATTTGGAATTTAATTTTAGACCTTTCTTCATCGAGTTATCGAGTTTCTAAAATTTAAACAATACTTTTCAGTATTTTTCCTATAATTTGGTAAAAAAAACATTCGTATAAAGTAACATCAGATGTTTAGCAGCATTTCGAACTTTTTCAGAATTGAACGGCTAGCAATTCGATGAACGTGTTAGTATTTTCATTGAGCGAAAACAATTTCGTATCTTTACGTTTTAATACGTGAATTCGTGATCCGTCAGTAATAACAAATGTGCAATGTAATTTAAATGAGAAAAAAGATCGCGTTTTTGTACAAACAACATCTGTAGTATCATATTTATTAATATCAATGAAATGAGTAAATTTAACAAACAAATATTTTGGTTTATTACATAAATGAATAAATGCAAGATAGAAGAGAAATTTATTAGCTCAGAGTACGGTTTTTGGTAAAATACCTTGTACGAAGAGATTATTATCATCAGCATCGACTTATAACTTGCCGATAACTTTGTTTTGCACCTTGTTTCTTCTGTTTCACATGATAATCAATCAGCAGTACTAATCATCCACAATTAGATCCAAGCGAGTATACACTTTCTTGTTCAACATTACATTTTTAAGAATTCATTTTCGGTGTGGTAATCCTCCGTTTGTTTTTGTTGTCTTCTAGCTCATAATAATATGTTGAGAATAATCAGACACATATAATGGGAAATGTATTTAAACAATCAATGTTTGAATAAATTAAACCACGATGTTGTCGTCTTATCTTGTTGGTGTTTTCTATTTAGTATTTTTAATATATAATCGGGTGTACGACAACGACATAACATTGATGATAATTTAAATTGATTGTTTAATGCTTGTAATGTTTCATAAAATTGTTTTTCACCTTGACTCTGTTGTTGTAGTTTATCAACAGTGTAGTGATGAAATGGATGTTTTGGTTGTGGTTGTTTATCGAGAAGAGAAACTTTACCTAATAATTCATAGTTTGTTTGTGTTATTGTTTGTCGTGAGGCAAGAAATTGTTCTAATTCTAATATTAAATCTTCTCAGTTCGTAACATAATCAATTTATTCATATAAAATTTATCTTGACTTGGATTTGCTAATGATGATAGCCATGATTGTGGTAGGTAATTATAATCACCTGAAACACAAATAGTTAAAGAAAAATCCTCTAAAAAGTGCGCTCTCTCATTACTTTTTAATAGCATTTCCACGAATATTTTGACTTGTAACATATTTTCATATTGTCCACAGATTTGTGTAATCACATTTTTAACATAATTCGTCCTTGATTCGGAAATACCAGTTGTTCGTTTGATAAGACAACCACAGTGAATATAATTTGGCAAATTTTTATAACCATATCGAGATAAATCGTCCAATAATAAATTACTCCAAATTGGGGCTGTGTCCATGAATTTCTCCAACAGGATTGTCAGAAAATCTGGACAATATACGGGATTATCCCATATTTTATCATTATTATAATTATTCACTGTTTTAGAAACTTCATTGTAAATCGTGGAAAAATCCATTTTGAATGGTGATTTCATTTCATGTATCATAATTACTTCATCAAGTGGCTCGTCTGCATCATCTTCATCGTTTATGTTACACTTAGATTAAAATAGAATACAGACAATAGTGGCAAAACTTAGGCTTTCACTTACTTTAAAAAAACATCTGAATCATTTCTGCTTCCAAAGCAATTTTGGGTCCATAACTTTGAACATCGGAGCGATTTACCACAACTTGAATAATACGATACCAAACCTATAAATATAACACAATCAATGTTCTATGTTTTCATCTATCTGAGAAAGAGGTGGTTATAATTCCTAAAAAATAAAAAAATTCTAGTTACACACATTTAACGGCAACAGGCAGAAGGTCACACTTCAAGCTTACTTTTCCTTTTTAAGCTGGATCATATCTGAGAATGTGCAATATTATGCAAAATTCACTGAGAGAAATAATTCCGAAGTTCTAATCAACAGAGTGATAGTGCTTAGGTGTTACTAGAATTTGTGGATATTATATGTCTAACACGAACATTACCTTTTCACAGACAAAATCTCCGGGAATTCTAATAAGTTTTAGCATTATACCATTTATAATCGATTGCATATTTTTCACCGCATATCGCTATTTTCAATACCAAAAATAATACGATTTGTGCCAGTTTTATTTAATAAAGATATTTTTAAATCCTGTTTTACCATTTCTTCTGTTATTGTATAATCAGTTGTTTCAAGATAAGCTAACCGTTCTTGAACGATATCTTGGGCATTCGAACGATCACACATTGCATATAAAATATCAACAGCACGTTCATTCTAAAATAAAAGAAAGAAAATATATTGAATAGCATCATCGTTTCAAATTATCTTTCTTGCCTTGAGTGCATTGATAACTGTTTCTTGATGTTTTTTAACTGCATCATGTGAAAATTTGGATGTGGCTAATTGACACATGCTCTCAAGTGCCAAATATCTAAAGTCAATTAAGTTAATAAATTAGATAGTATATATTTTTTTTCTATTTACCTCACCTTCTCTATTCTGTAAAAATTGTCCTGGTTGATTACATGCTCTGACAAGTAGGGTAGACTCACAATCCATGTGTATAATTAAATTGATTGCTTCGAATAAAACAGCATTTCTCGCATTTGAATGTTGAACTTTTTCCGATTTAAATGGTTCTTGATCTTTATTCAAAATCGTATCCAAACATTCATTTAAACGAGTATGAATAGAAGGATCATCTAAAAAGCACAGATAACAAATTCTCAAAATCAGTAAGATTTTTAAGGATTGCGATTATCGAAAATGTTAGATAAACCACATTTGCTGTGCTTGATTGAGTTATTTTACCTGGCGGCGGACAATTTCGAAGTGTGATTAATAGTTTGACACATAACCACGATGTAGAAACAATAATATGTATAACCTTCAAAATCAGTATAAGACGATGTAACTATCTAAAACCAAAACAAATGCGTTACAAATTAATAAATTCAAAATTTTCTTTAACAACCTACTCGGCTTACTCTTGGAACAGTCAAATTGACACAGCCTTTCTATTCTTCTGGGTCTCGTTTAACCAGTGCTTCAATTAAACTGCCAACACCTGTTTCGACACTCTGAAATAAACAGAAATGAACGTATAAGTAAAGAGTAAGTAAAGAAATCAGATAGAGCCTACAAAATGTTGATCGTATAATAAGTGAATTCTTCGTCCAACCCATTCTGCATTCATTTGAAGCACAGAGTGTGCTTCAGATGAATACAGAATCAAAATACTTAAGGCTTATAAAATATAAACTATTCCGATCATCTATCACATACGCCGTATATATAACAGAAAACAAAAAGTTCTTTTTGTTCTATCTATTTTATTTAATATGTTATTTTTCTGGCTTTAGAATCAACTATCGAATATCCTACTAACTATCGACAGTCATCGATAGTTGTAAATCTTGGCATATTTCATTTTCTTCATGCTTCAAACTCACTAAGGAAACTATGGGAGTCGTCGATAGTTGTAAATATTGGCATATTTCACTTTCTCATTGCCAACTAAACGCACTAAAGAAATTACGGGGTCATCGATAGTCGTCAACCTTCGCACATTTCATTTTCATTACTAATTACACTCAATAAGAAATTATGTGATTCATGGATAATGCTAAATCTTGGCATATTTCATTTTCTTTAGTATTTACACCCACTGAAGAAATTATGTGAATTATGGATAGTTTTAAACCTTAACATATTTCATTTTTTTTACAGATTAAACTGGCTAAATAAACTATGGGAGTCATGGATAATGCTACATCTTTACATATTTCATTGTCTTTACATTTCATTTTATTATGTGAGGCAGCGATACTAGTAAATCTTGGCATATTACATTTTTGCTTTACCAATCAAACGCACTAAAGAAGCTACGGGGATGATCGATAGTTGTCAACCGTGGCTTATTTCATTTCCTTTAGTAATTCCATCCGCTACATTTACGTCGGCAATCTAACTAGGACCGTGAGGCACCGAAAACTTTTATTTTTGTGGCAGATTGCAACATTTCAGGCTTGACTGACATTTTCGGACTTGTATGCTTGTGACAAACGATATTTTCAGACATTTGCTTATTACATTGGATTTTCAAAAGGAAGTTAGTAGTTCTGACTGCCTGATTGATATATTCTTTTTTATAGGTTTATTAAAAAGAGTAGACAAATATTTAATTTGTCTATTAAAACTGTCGGGATATCAAGCAATAAAAAAATGTAACTTTAGATACTGCTGACATTGAAAAATCAAATTATTGATTAGATGTCTCTCAAGTCGAGTTACTGTGAAAGAATGCTTAGTAACACTTTTCTCTATTTTGTATAAAAAGAGAATAATGACTGTGAGGAATCAAAGTTACCTATCTTCACTTTCAATGCATGGTGAGATAAGAAAGGTCGAGCAGCTGGGAGAAGAAAATGTATCTTACTTACCACTGTTTTGCTTTTCCAATGAAGAATAACAAACAATAATTACAAAAAAGCGATCTTTTTCCACTTCGTCTTGTGTGTAGAGTGCGAATGGGAGATAAGGTACCCGTAATTCAGAGAAGGAGCACAACTGTTTTTCTCGGTGAATTATACATGGTTGGATAGAGTACCCCGAGCTGATTTAGAATATATGTGTTTTACCTATTCAAAAACCTCATGTGATGAAACAATGACGAAAAACTGGCTTTGAGTGAAAACCTCTTTTT